TCCTTTTTCCGTAAAATACATAAATTGAAGTAAATATTTTTTAATTTGCTATGAAAGGTGAGAATCTATTGCCATATTTTTGGTAATTATATATTGATTTAGCCATTACTACAAATATTCATTGCTATAAATTAAGGATTAAAGAATACTACCATTAGAGCCTAGGCCCGTTGGGTCGACCTAGCCTAACCCGAGATTTGATAGGGTTGGGTTACGATTCTTGGAGCCCATTTAAGAAAAGAGCTTTTTAGCCCGGCCTGAATAAGTCTGCCGATTTGTGGGGCTTGAGAAATATGGATAGGGCCAGCCCGTGGGCCAAATAAAAATTAATTAAAAAATAAAAAATAAAATAGAGTATTAAAAATAACAAGAGTCTAAACTCAAAATCAGTTTAAAGTTTGAAATATTACAATTTAAATACAAATTATGTTTATAAAATACGTATTACGTAAAATAAAAATTCCCTAAATTTTCTAGGAATCACTACATAGGCCATAGCCTATGGAATATTGTCATAGTTTTTTGTGTTTTATTATGATCATTGGAAAATAATTTGGTTTATATTTTTATTTAGCTATTTATGCTTTTACTTGAAATCAAACTTAATAAATATTATAATGATAATTTTATTTGTGGATTTGATTAACAAGTAGAAACACTAACACCATGTAATATTATCTTGTCGATATTTATGATAATATTTTTAAATTATAATTTAATTTAAAAAATTATAAAAAAATATATTTTTACGTAAAGAGGGCTGGCCCGGCAAGCCCGTAGCCCAAGTACTTGTGGGTTGGGCCGACCATTTTCTAGCCCACATCAAAAATGGGTTAGCCCAGCCTGACCCATCAAATTTCAAAGCATGTATGAGCTACCCCGGATGGAGTGGGTCAGCCATATTGACAGCTCTAACTGCCATAAACATTATAAGTAACAAGAATTTTTATAATTTAGCCAAAAGAAAATTTAAAATTGATTTCAACAATTTCATTACTACAAATTAAAGAATTTTTCGAAAGCTTTATTAGTTAGAAAAGTTACATAATGTAGCCACAAATCCATTTTGAGATTTCAAAATAATTATCAAGTTACATATAATTGCATTTTACAATTTTGAGAACAATTACAAAATGTTAATCAAGTACTAGAAACATGAAAGTTTATTGAGAACACACAAGATTGATAAATCTCACACTGACTTATACACTAAACAAATTGCTATAACTTTGATGAATATTGAACTGTATATAAAAAAAATAAAATTAAAAATGACATTTTATTATAGAAAAATATGTTCATATATAATCTATGCAATAGGTAATAATCTAATAAATTGGACCAAGTCTTTGTTACGTACAATATTGTTAATCAAGCAGTAGAAACATGAAAGTTCATTGAGAGCATAAAAGATTGATAAATCTCATACTGACTTATAGACTAAACAAATTGCTACAACTTTGATGAATATTGGACTGTATATAAAAATAATAATTTAAAAATGACATTTTATTATAGAAAAATATGTTCATATATAATCTATGCAATAGGTAATAATCTAATAAAAAAAATTGTTCATCAAGTTGTAGATTTAGATATTGATTATTGAATAGTATCACTAATCACGATATGCTAATATTAAATATATGGTCTTCAAATGGATAGTTCAATTGCTAAGAAGTAAAAAGTCATGGCACATTATAGGCGAATAAGAAATACAAATTTTATGAGTTTAATATTTTTAAGGTTTTAATATTTAACTTGATGTGTTTTTAAAATTTTAAGGTTATATCTACGATTTGATAGATTTTTTTAAAATTTTGAGCATAATAATATTATCTGCAACAAAAAATAATAATTCAAACAAGCCTAATATTGATATTTTATAGCTACCTCAACGAAACATCATATCACAAATTCAAATCTCAAACATTTTACAGGTCGTTGTCCAATTATGTTTTTTTACTTCATTATTAATTATGTGAAATGATTAATTTAAAAGTACATCAATTACATGAATTCTCAAAATTCCTTCTTTTTTCTTCTTCTCAAATAATAATGGAATCTTTGCTCATGTTTGTCCATATCAAAATAGTGTTTGATTATATATTGGAGTGACTTTTTCAAAAGGAAAAAAATATGATGAGTTTTAAATTTGAAAAAAAATAATATAGTTTAGATCAGTCTTTCAAGTGATTTTTTAAAAAAATCCCAAAATTTGGTTAAAAAAAAGAAATGAATCTTGAGTCTAACTCAATCTTAAAAGCTAGCTCATAAGGTAAAGATTGTTAAACACCATATTAGGAGACCACGGACCCCAATGTCCATTGATGTGGGACTTAACACTCTCCCACACATAGGATTAAACATCTTAAACATGGACAATATAAGATTGGAGCCCAACATCGGGTGAAATAATGAATTGGATTGGACTTGACTCTAATACCATGTAAGGAAATGAATTTTGAGCCTAGCTCATACTCAAAAGCTAGTTCATGAGGAGAGGATTGCCCCGAGACTCTAATGCCCACCATCCACCGATGTGAGAATCAACACTCCCCCACACCGCTTTTTAGACAAAAGGACAAAAATATGTCAAAGTAGTAAATTAGAATCTCTAACTTATGGCTATAAGCCCATTCAAACAAGTTCTAACTCAACCTCAATAATTAGCTCACAATTTTTATTTTTATCAAAACCATATAAAGAGACCAAGGATCTTATTGCCCACTAATCTAGAGCTCAACAAAAATTTAATTGTTTTTCAAGATAAATTCATATCCAAATATAATTCAATTTCCAAATATATTTTTTAATATTACTACTTTTTTAGGACATATCAAGTTTTATGAGGGCCAACATATAATAGAGGCCAGACCTTTGTGTGACATAAATATGTACTTTAGTGGCATTGCTTTGGGCCCAAATCACTGGCTATCCTGAAGAACTACAAAAAGGCCATAAAGCAAAGAGAATGTCTTTAGTTAATCTTGTTCTTGACATATGTGATATTTGATGTGACCTTCCCTGTTAAAATGCTTAATTCCTCTATAAATCCATTTTAATATCTTATGATTTTTATCCAATCAATTAAAAATTTCTATTTGTAATGTATTGTACTCTTCGTTATGTATATTCTACGTATAACAGTTGGATAACAAATGTATATTGTATATACATTGATTACATACATATCGTACAATGATTATTCATTGGTTATGTGCTGCATATTAGCTAAAATTTATAAAGACTAAAATAAATTTTTTACTGTGAACTTTTTTGAATTAACATGTAGTATAAGAATTAGTAATTCAAAATATAGTTATGATGTTCAAACCAACTCAGCCAGTATGGGTTGATCCATAGATGGTTAGGTTATAATTTGAGTTAATAGAATTTAACAAATTTTTGTTACTTGCTATTTTTTAAAATAGAAATCTTGCATGAAGATATTCTGAGTTCAAAAAACCATTAAGTTCCATGTGTTTCCAAAAATCACTTAATTTAATAATCTTGAAACATACCCTCATGTAAGTTGCATTTTTTTTTTGGATTAATTACAGAAATCCACCTTTTAGTTTACTTATTACCATTATCCCCTATAAGTTTTACAAATCTCCAAAATTCCTCATTTTCACGCATCAGATTAGTGTATCTCGCGCATCAGATTAGTGTATCTCGCGCATCAGATTAGTGTATCATGTATAAAATGTAATGTATCTTACTTAACGATTAATGTATATCACGCATCAGATTAATGTATCAACGCTTATATTATTGTATCCGTTTGAGGGATTACTGCAATTATAAACTTTTAAGGGATAATTGTAACTTTGCCTTAAAAGTATGTGATTTCTGTAATTTGCCCTTTTTTTGTAATGAGAACCAATAGGTGACATTTATTATACATTTGCTCATAAAAGGGGAGCCTTGGAGTAATAGTAAAGTTGTTTCCATATGACTTATAAGTCACGAGTTCGAGCGTCAGAAACAACAACTAATACTTATATTAGGGTAAATTTACATCACATTCCTTGAGGTATGACCCTTCCTCAAATCCCACTAACGCATGATGCTTTGTGAATTATGTAAAGGTCCCTATAAGTTACTTATCTATCCAATGGACTGTTATCTAAAGATGGGATAATATATTAACTTAGAAGCAAAGATCTAAAAGTTCTCATTTATATCATGGCCCAAAAAAAAAGAAGTTAAAGAAGTGAATTAGTTGCATGGTAAACATCAAGCCCCTCAAAAGAAAATATAATATCTGCTAATTACACCTTGTTTGGATGGTTGTTACCCGTTATATTGTATTGTATTGTATTGTATTGTATTGTTAATTTAAGTATAATTTTTATTTTGATTGTTACTTAAATGTTAGTATTATATTGTATTGTTTAAATCCATCATCAGGTACAATGAAAGCTAAAAGACCCATAACAACCAATTTGGTGTGATCGCATCGTTACCTTAATATTTTATTCTCATTTTGTCTTTATTTATTATTTAATAATTCTGTTTTGACCTTTACCCTAACTATTCATAATAGTTTTACCTCGTACCCTAGTTTTCTTATAGGTTTATCATTCAAATTATGAATGTGTGGCAATCTGTAACAACGAAGAACGATACAGTCTATCTAAGTGTTGTATTCATTAAAACAATATAATACGACACAATACAACACAATATAGTACGATACGAAACATTATGAAACAATAGGTAATAACCCTCCCAACAAAGTGTAAAAGACCAATCAAGTTATGAAAAGTCACCCAACCTATACTATATATAAACCTTGCACTTTACATTTGTGGTCCCTCAACTTTCTAATTTTGGTCATTATCACCATCTTTGCCTTGTTTTTTCCTCCTCTAAATGCTCTTAAGCTACTCAATCTCTAATCCAAGTAACATGTCAATTAAACATTTTCTTACCTAACAAAAACTAATATATATGTGTCATTAATTAGTATAATGATGTTCAAATTAATCAAAATGGAGACTAGCACTATAGTATTTAGTATGAGTGTACTTGTTGTTTTATTGGGCTTGGTTGGATCCGACCCGGATCCACTCCAAGATTATTGTGTGGCTGATACCAAAAAAGGTACTAGAGAAAGTTTTTATAATGGTGTGCCATGTATCAATCCACAAAATGTAGATGTTTCCCATTTTGCAACATCAGCATTGTCCAAGGCTGGTAAAATTGGCATAGTATTTGGTTTCAATGCGACACTTACTACAATTTTCAATTTGCCAGGTACGTAGGGGTGTTAAATGGGTGGGTTGAGGTCAAAATGAACTGAGTTAATATATGTGTTGATCAAAAAGTTACCTGGACTGAAATAAGTTGGGTCAAAATGGGTTAAACAATAGGTCACAACAAAATCCATACAACTCTTTTCAAGATTTAATTTCTTTTTTTTTTGTTTTTATATAATTTGTTTAATAATCCAGTATTTCCCTTTTTATGGTTTTATTTACAGTCGGACCTTTCTGTAACAACATTAATGTCGTTTGCCTGGTTAGGTTTTTTTTATTGTTGTAGTGAAATATTGTTATATGAAACGTATAATATAATATAACATGAAAATAGATTCCAAAAGAGACTTGACCACTATAATGAAATGTTCTTATAGAAAGGTTAGAATATATCTAACAAAAAAATAAGAAGTTGTGGATGTGTTATGTATATGCATGTATATTACATACATGTATATTACATGTATATTTTATGTATATTTAGTATAAGTATACATAATTTATACACGTGCATATTTTGTAAGCTAAATAGTCGAATGGTTCATGCCCGTAATCATCTCAAATATTTTGATAAGGTTGATCATGGATCAATTTGAGTTATATATCAGTCCAACTTTTAGATAGACTGAATTCGACGAATCAAAATGGGATAAATAAATACATGAACAAGTTCTTAAATGAATCGGACAAGTCATATATTCAGGGTTAATTTTAAGCAGATTGAACGCCAGATCATATATTCATGAACTAATTTTGTCGTCCTTACAGGTATGAACACTCAAGGACTCACTATGGCAAGAATAGACATTGGTCCCAATAGCCTTGTGTCCCCTCATTCCCACCCTCGAGCCTCAGAAGTGGCTATTTTACTAAAGGGTTCACTTTTAGTTGGATTTATTAACACATCAAATCACTTATTTACCCAAAAATTAAGACCAGGAGATTCTTTTGTTTTTCCAAAAGGTATGATCCATTTTCTTTATAATACTGACTCTAAGGTGCAAGCATTGGCCTTGTTTGGGCTGAGTAGCCAGAACCCTGGTGTCCAAATGGCTTCCCCGGCCGCGTTCGCGACATGCCCAACTATGCCAGATGAAGTATCTAAAAAGTTATTTCAGATCAACGATCAGGATGGTACGAGAATCAGGACAAGCCTTGAAGGATGATTATGTTTTTTGATATGGTTATTGTTGAGTATATATATATGGTTATTTTTTCTTTCAATAATTTTATTTATTATTGGAGTAAATTAAAGTTTGCTTAGGGTTATTTCAATTAATTTGTAGAAAAAAAAAGGTTGTAGGTTTGGGTGTATAATGACGTGCCAACTGTCACATGTGTGTTGTACTAATTTTATTAAACAAATTGGCCTGCCTTCGTCAAATTGTAAATTATGTGAGATTTAATTCGTATGTGTGTCGACTTATTTAGTTTTATAATAATTCAGTTAAAGCCTAAATTAAAGGGCATGTTTATATGTCTTATGTCGAACAATAACAAAATTGTATCTATGTAATGTATCGACTACAAGTTTAAGCCATAAAATCTATTATATTGACATTTAGATAAACTGTTTGTATCATAACCTTTGAAGTATGACTTTTTTCGAATCTTACGTGAACACGAAATAATTCGCATTGTACTTGCCTTTTATATACAAGCATTAAATCAGAACATAGCCAGAGGACAGACAAATCCACACTATAAATTTATTGGTCACCTCACATTCCAACAATCAGAGTATAATTTTTAAAGTGCAAATTGCATTATAAATGCCAATTATATTATTCGAATCTGATACCTGCAAATATATTATATGCTCAATAATTTAATTTAATTTTTGTTGAAATTATACAAAGCATGTGAAGAGACGTCAACTTGAGAATTTATTTAATTGACAATTAAATAAAGTAAATAATACGCAATTACCCAAGTCTCTAAGCTTTCACATGAGGGTATCAATTCTTTTTATTTATCGATTGATATTCGATAGTCATATTGAAATTTGAATAAATTTAAATTCATATATTGTAAAGTCTATTTATAGAATCGATGTTTCTAATAATTTTTTTATTGTCAGACTTTAAAGCACAATGAACATGACTATCGTAAATCTATGTTTTTGAAATTACAAAATCATGTTACTAAGATAATGGACTCTTGAATTCATACACATGAACAAGTTGGAAGAAAAAAAATCTATACATAATTATTAGAATACACTTAGTAATATATATTTTTAAAAACACTTATCGTTTATCCAAGAGAAATTAGACTTTGTATGTTTAGTAGTGTAGAAACTTTTTTAGAAAATATTTCTTACAAAATAAAGAATTTTCTGAAATATATTTGATAATTAGTGGATGTAAGAATTTTTTTTAAAAGATATTTTATTGGTCGCAAATTATGTGATATTTTTTTTATTACACTTTATTATATAAAAATAATTAATTTGAGATTTCTCATTTTATCTATAATGAGATAATTTATAATCATACAAATGGCTATACTTTGGTTTAGATCACAATTATTTTTTTTAAAATACTTAACTTTTTCCTTAAACTCTATCAAACATTGTCATATAAATTGAAACAAAAATAATATTTACTAAACATTGTTCAAAATTTTTGCAAATTGTGTAATATTTTGATAAAATATCTGAATATCAAAACATTTCATAATAATATCTATATATTGGTTGGAATATTGATATGAAATTAACAAATTGAGTAAATTGTGAAGGAAAAGACAATTTTGAGGAAATCATTTTTGCCTTTTAGCGAAGGTATCCAAAACATCAAAAAGTGACAAACGTTTTCAAAATAATATTTTTCGTCAAACTAAATACACCATTAACCTTATTATATCAAACTCACAACAAAATAAATTTGGCATAAATTGAAAAAAAAAAAGAAAAAATATACACGACACGTTTCTTTTGCATCATGTTGTATTACATATACTCTCATTTTTTAAAATAAAGATTTTTTTTTCACCATGAATCAACGAAAAAATTATGTTATAAATATGATTTTCTTATCCATTTTCCATCAAATCAACTCAGTAAAAAAAACACATGGTGAATATTAAATTCTCATTAAAATACTGAAAAGCTTTCTAATTTTTCTGTATGAAGATGCTAATATCTTTTTCTTTTCTGATTGATTCAATCAAATTATCAATGGAAATGGCTTATTTTTTAGTGAAACTTTCAATAGAAAAATAGTGATACTTTCCTAATAACTTACGTAAACACACCAATTAAATACTTATAGGGCAAGGAAATATTTATAAAACCAATCAAACTAATGAATTGGTCATATTGTGTGTATACAAATGGGTGGCTACTAAGTAAACATTCACACTAATTAGGACATCATCTTTGGCACGATTTCTTTTTATTTTTGGTTGTCCATTATAGAAACCAAAACAAATATATTGTACATCAATGTTTGAAGTCAATGGTCATCAAAAGGCCAAAAAAAAAAAAAAAACCTCCAGCTAATTTCCATGTGCTACACTTTGATATTCACATTATAATTTTTGGAGCCCCACAAATCATATGCATACAAATTAAGTTAGAAGAACAAGTTGAGCAAGGCAAGTACCCCCTTGATCCAATTTATGTTTTGGTTGTCTATCTCAACACAAAATTTAAGAAGAAATAAAAGGGTACAAAATAAGGCAAGAATTCAGAAATTTATAATAATTGTCTTGTTCTACATGTTGGATCTTTTACTATTCAATGTTTTTACTAAAAGTATGTTAATCACTATGTTATTCGTCATGAGAGAGAACAAAAACGATATGTTGTATTTGAACTTTGAATGAATGTCTCAGAAATAAGGAGTATGTCCACGTATTTCAATGAGAATACAAAAAAAAAACCTAATTTATAAATATTTGCGTGATTGCAATCAAGAACGATGATAGCTCTTCAATTATGATTTCAACAGAATCTAATAATTTTGATTATATTATTAATAAAAAATTATTCACTATATACAAGTTACTACGTATTAATTTGAAATTCAATTATTTAAAGAATTAGAATCTCGAACCGTAGATTGGAATCAAAATGGTATATATCTCAAGCATATCTCTATTGTAAGGAACCTCCAAATGAGAAAAATTGATTGAAAACAACTTTGATGCCAAGTAACAACTAAAGTTTCTTCTTATGAGTTGGACCCCTCCCTTTTTTAACACTTAATTATTTTCCTTTTGCCGTTATAAATCATTGTCAACATCCCTAATTAGTCTTAATCAATCATTCTCTTCTATAATGAATTAAAAAATAAAGTTCCTAATCACATTATTTAGTTATTTCTAGACTTCACAAAAGAAGAAACATAAACAACTACCACAATTATTAACATTACCTAATCAAGAGAACCAAAAGCTAAATAAGTTTTTGTTGTTAATATACCTTTTTTTAAGATAAAGTAACATAAAATACAACACCAATAAAGTTTAGATGAGTCGTGGAAGATTGGAATCCAACGAAGTATTTTCTCCGTTCACTTTTACTTGTCTACAATTTTAAAAATAATTTTGTTATTTTTATTATCACTTTTAACGTATTGAAAAAATAAATTATTTTCATGTTTTAACCTTAATGTCAACTAATTGTTCTCCAAATTATTTACCAAGACGTGATATTCACATAAATTAATATGGACGTTATGGTAAAATACACAAGCATATCAATCATTTTTTAAGGAACGTAAAGTCTAAAGTAGACAAGTAAAACTGAACAAAATGACCAACTTAGTAAATTTTCCTTATTTTTTGGTAGTTTGGATTACTTTTACTTGTCACTTTTAACATATTAAGAAAAAATAATTATTTTTCGTATTTTACTTTCAACAATAATTGCTTATTTCTCAAATCATTTTTCAAGACATAAGGTAATATATTAATTAATGTGAATATTGTAATCAAATATTTATATTAATTATTATTTCTTAAAAGACCGTAAATCTAAAATGACAAGTAAATAGCCACGAAAGAAGCATTAAAAAGCAAATGTACACCATGAATTAGTAGAGATACGCGTAATTCAACTCAACAAATACTCTTGGTTTGGCTGAAATATAGAGATGCTAAGATTATGCTAATTATTAATAAGTCAATAGTCCAATAACTAGTAGAACATATTTCAAATATTAATAAGTTTGGTCTAGCTATTTTTTTTTTAGTTTCAACATTGGAGCTTCAATTATATCTGAATCACGCATTAATTGTTTCGTACTCAAGACTCGCAAAATTTTGATCAAGAATGAAACAGTCTCACCACCACAGCATAATCCATGTCAATGGTCTAGCTATATTATTAACCTATCTCTATTATCTATGGAGTATGCAAATGGAAAATCAAAATATACACTAGACCATGATTGCAATAGAATGATATGTAAAATTTCTTTTTTCTTCGAGACTTTCACAAGCGAATTCAAATTTAGTCCAACTCAACATGAATATCAAACACATAGTGAATACATAAAATACAACAAACTAAAACTATCTCAAAAATTGTTCCAAGTCCATGGAACTAGTAATAAAATTTCGTGTAATCAACTTTTGTCTCTAAACAAATCACATTAATTTTTCACTATCACTCTCTCTTTTCCTTTTCCTTTTTCCAACTAATCATGTACAAGGCTATCAAAGAATCACTTAAATCAACCTTGTCAAAAAAAATAAAATCAAATGAAATAATTGGAGTAACCAAAAAGTATATTACTACTAGAATAATCCAAATTATGATGTTGATAAAGTCTCATTTTACTCCTTTGATAATTGGGCCTTGATTTGGGCTTGGGCTTATACAAATCATAAGGCTCCCAAAGATAATCCAAAGGACAAGGCCTTTTTTCATCAAGCCTGGCCCATGGTTTTCCTTTACCAGACCAATGTAACAAGCTTACTGGGCCTGGATGTAATGATCTACACGACCCCATTACATTGTCACCGCCGAGCCCATGTTGATTCCACCGGTGATTAATGGGCTCGACGAGCCCACCAAAAACAAGCAGAAACGGCGGCAATGAACCCAGTTCGTAAATTCTTCTTTGTCTCTGTAACTCCATCCATTTCTCTATCTTTTTCCGGTAATCACCTTCTCTCCATTTCTGCAAATCCATTACCATCACACCAGTGTTGA